TTTAATCGATTATCCCTAGAATATACCTCAAAATAATCGATTAATAATTAATTTCGTTCGGAATTTCTCCAAAAATAAACAAACAACCAACCGGACGGCGCGTGCGTGTGGTCCGTAAGGTCCTCCCTCTCCCACAAAAGTGGGTCACCCCAAAGGGCATGCCCTTAGGAGAGAGGCTCCTATTTTTATACACATTTCACCAAGTAAAACTACCAATGTGGTAGTTTTTCCACTTGACACTCTATAACTTTCAAACCTATTCATACACATTTCCAACAGTATCCCACAACTATTTTTACCGCCCGACCATTATGGTTATAGTTATTATTACTGTTTGTTTGTTGTTTGGTCAAAGTTAGAAGGTTGGACACTGGAAGGGAACAGTGAATCATGATGATGACTGGAACTGCAACGATGTCACTTGGTTGCTTACTATCCGAAAAGCAAACAAGAGGGAACAAAGTAAGGGAGAAAAAAAGACCTAAGATTGTTGAATTCTGAAGCTTGGTTGGAAGAAAAGCAAAAGCGTGTATTAGTTAAGATCAGATAGAATTAAAGCCTACTTTTAATTTCTTTTAACATTCCATCGAGAAAGCCACTTTAAAAGCTCTTTGTGTCCTTTTTTTTTTTTTTTTTTTTGAAACTTATGCTCTTTGTGTCCTTCTATCCTCGTTATTGCTTGTTCTTTATATAACTACACTAATCCAAGAACTCAAATTATGGCGACCTGCTGATTCTTGAGAATTATAAAAAGGTTAAAACGCCTTTGGATCTTAAGCAGTTACATTTGTATAATTGCTCTAGGACGTCATGCCTATAGCCTATAGGCTATAGTTATTATTATTATTATTATTATTATTATTATTATTATTATTATTATTATTATTTAAACAGTCTGCTGTGTGAATTGTTTATCTTTCCGCAGGGCTTAATTGCAAGTTTGGTCACCCGAATTGCTTAAAAATTTCACGTTTGCCACCCGAATTGATTTATTCCATTTATAGTCACTCGAATTAGTTGAACAGTCCAAGTTCGGTCACTCTCCGTTAACCTCCGTTAATAACGACCGTTAAGTGATGACGTGGCTAACAGAAAGACACAGTCAGCACATTTAAACATTAAAAAACGACGACCCAACCCGACCCGACCCTCCAGCTCACCCTTACCCGCCCAGTCAGCCATTCTTGCCCAAACCCGCGAACCAACCCAATTAATTGACCCTAAACCCAAACCCGAGACCCAACCCCCCCTGAATTGTAAATCACAAACGACAACAACTCGTTCTCATACCGCCGTGGTGGCATCGGCGGGCACGGCAGAGTAGGAGCAGGACCCGGACCTGGATAAACGACCCGAGCAGATTCAGGGGACGTCTTGCTCTTATTCCGCGGGGACAAACTCGCGGGAGGAGAAATGCTAACCGACTGAGACCTCGCCGGAGATCAAGACGACGAATCGGAAGAACAAGAAGTCGAATCAGTAGTTCCCCCTTCTCCAAAATCCGGCCCCGGCCCACCCATATCCCGAAACATCCTACTCGACCCGGATCCGGCCCCGACCGAACTATCCCTCCCTCCGCCGCCCAACGACCCTCTGGGAGAATAAAACTCCTCTTCCTCATCATCCTCAGGGGACCCAAAACCATCCGGATTCTGCCGATTCAGCGGCCGGAGCGGCCGGAGCTCCGGCGAATCCATCTTCCCCACGACGGGAGACTCAACGGCAGCAGCAGGATTCAACCCGCCACCATCCCCAATTCCATGGGAATTCACAAGCGTCCCGAGATACAGAAACTCCGAGCTGGTATTCGTGGGGCGGAGCTTGTACCTGGATCCGGAGCCCCGATCCGGATTCACGGCATAGAACCGGCTGCTGCTGTGGCGGTCGGATGAGGCATGGGTTTTGGCATCGTGACCGGGAGGTGGTTCGTTGGCACTCCTCCGGCGGCGGCAGAAGTAGAAGGCAAGAACGGCGGAGACGATAACAGCGGCGGAGAGGAAGGAGAGGGAGAGAGCGAGTAGCTTGTGGGAGGAAGAAGGGGGTTTTGAAGAAGGGGATTGAGGGAGGATCAGTGACGAGATGTTGGCCGGGAAGGAAGCGAATGTGGAGGGGGACGCCGGTGGAGGCGGGATTTGTGGCGGTTGGGGTTCCGGTGTTGGAGAAAGAGAGTTTCGCCGGCGGCGTAGGGGGAGGCGGTGGTGGGGGGAGGGATGAAGGGGATGGTGCGGGTGGGAGGGTGTCGAGCGGGAAGAAGGGTTGGTGGAGAATGCGGCGGACGGGGAAAGCGGTGGAGCGGCGGTGGAGGAGGCAGAGGAATAGGAAGAAGAAGACGAAGACTAAGGAGGAAGGAATGGGCATTGTGCGAGAACGTGAAAAAGACTCCGCCTTTGCTCTCTCTATTTCTTCCTCTCGGAGCTCAGATGAGAGCTGAGTGAAAAGGGAAAGGGGGAAAAGGGATAGAAGGGAAATGCCCTAATCCATCTGTGATTTACAATTCAGGGGGGTTGGGTCTCGAGTTTGGGTTTAGGGTCAATTAATTGGGTTGGTTCGCGGGTTTGGACAAGAATGGCTGACTGGGCGGGTAAGGGTGAGCTGGCGGGTCGGGTCGGGTCGTCATTTTTTAATGTTTAAATGTGCTGACTGTGTCTTTCTGTTAGCCACGTCATCACTTAACGGTCGTCATTAACGGAGTCTAACAGAGGTTAACGGAGAGTGACCGAACTTGGACTGTTCAACTAATTCGAGTGACTATAAATGGAATAAATCAATTCGGGTGGCAAACGTGAAATTTTTAAGCAATTCGAGTGACCAAACTTGCAATTAAGCCCTTTCCGCAGATATGGGTGAAATTTGCAAGTGTTAAATGCAAACCACCTTCGGATCCAAAAATCCCGTCTAAGAAGACGACGGAAAAAGATAGCAAAGCACCTCTAGAGCAGCTCATGTATCTCTTCTTCCATGCTAGCCTTAACCCATAATGTCATGCCATTGGACAAGATAAGACAAGATATTCAATGGTCTCCATCTCTGCCCTGCAAATCAGATATTGAGCTAACAGTGGAATCTTCACGCACCCTCGACGCCTCTGTAGTAGGCAAAATTCCAATGTTGTCAGAACCGAACCGGAGCATTGTAGACACCACATTTTGTCCGGAGCAACCATCCTACTCAGAACTCGGAAGAATATCCTTTTTAAAATTCAAAAAGAAAACCCAAGTGAAAGTTTGGACGAGGTTGGTTGAGATTAGCGGTGGCAAATCAATAAGTACCAATGATTTCGAAGTCCTCTTTCTGTTTAGTTCGAATATTTGTAATAGGTAGGATTAGCAGTAGCTAATGGCTACCAAATTCGCTTTATTTAGAATAGCAATAGTATGCCGTCGGGACTTATACTAGCATTACGGTTAACGATTAGTGACATAGGTTTGAAATTGGTCAAATGGGATAGGAAAACCATAGTAATCTTACTAATATTGGTTAATATTGGTCAAAATTCATAACTGGGAACTATTTACTTAGAAGTTGGGATATGGGTCACGATTGGAGAAAAAGTAAGCAAATTGGGTGGAAACAATTGGGCATACAATAATTATATGATCATTCTAATTATAAGTCGCAAAAATAATTACATGCATAATTACAAGGTACAAATGTACAATTAATAATTATTACATTTGACAAGAAATTAAGAATGAATAAAAAGAAGAGACTTCTTCCTTTTTCTTTTGGGCACCAATCAGAATCGAAGGCTTTGGCTACTGAGGCTGTTTGGGCCTCGATTGATCATCATCTTGGGCCAGAACCATACGAAGGACCTGCAAAGAGAAAAAGAAACTATTAGAAACCAGCCCACACCAGCAACCAACACTTAGGCCCAATTCTCAAACCATAAACCCAATCAAGGCCCATAATTTTCGGCCCAGTTCAGACAAATCAACTGGCCCGGTCAATCAAAGTCAACGAGCCAGCTTCTGTCAACTTGGGTCAACATATTTTTTTTATGACCTTATCCCATCCCAAAGACAAGGCATAATGACTGTCACTTCTTGAAATGAGTAAAGCAGCCACCTCTTTTGGAGCCAACCAAAAACCAACACCAATCTATCCATTTACCAAAAACTGCCACCAATGCTAAATGAACAGTAAAATGACAGATATAAAGAGAAGCTTTACCACAAAGTGAAAGGGGGGGACCAATTGGAGGGAATTCACAGAAAACGACAAACAGAAACAATTTTCTTCCTTTCCACTTTTCTTGGATACAAAGTTCAGTATAGAGATTGGCATTGAGGGGGATCGATGAAGGCAGACAGATAGAAGCCACAGCGATTAGACTACAGAAATCAGGTTGGTCTTTCTTCCTTTTATTCTCTTTACCATCTCAATCAAGTGAAGCTTTCATTAACATCCATACATCGGCATAAGCTTTTCTCAAATAATCCACTAAAAGTAGAGCATATTTTAATGATCTTTGCTTGCTTATGGTCTGTGCTTGATGGCTACAGATTTGTGAATGTGCACCACATATGTTTGTTGTCTTTATAGAACTCTCTCCATCTTATACATGAATAAAACACAACAAATTTGATTTGCCTACTATTTTCGATCTTACTTGTGTGAGCCAACTTATCCACATCTATTAAAGCATACATGTTATCAAATCTAATCTCTCAGTTCTCTCTAGTAAAGGTTGAATTGTTATTTGATTTAGTACCCTAGCTATGTAAACAAGTAAGCAGATCAAACCCATGGAGGTATTTTGAAATACCTCTTTTTGTTTAAGTTACTCTCTTTTTAGATCCTTTAGATCTAAACTCGGATTCGGAAAAATACCAAACATATTAATCCTACTAAAACTTTAGTTTTCTTTTAGTTAATTTGACCACAAGCGGTTGCTGGGTATTAATCTAGTTTTGCTTTTCAACCCAATCCAACAAAAGCCCCAACACTATTGCAAATTTAAGATTTAACCAACTATCACCTTTTAAAAATCAACCCGTTTTTTATCAAAACCCAAATCCACATTTGAAGCTTCCCATCAATTCGATGGTCATGAGCAGTGGCTATGGCCCAAATTCGTATAGAAGCTTCCCATCAAGCTGATGGTCATGAGCAGTAGCTATGTCCAACAAAGCAATTAATTTTCAAGGCATCCCAATAAAACTATTTTTTTAGCTAAATAATTAAATCATAGGTTCTTAGCAGCCGATCGAGCAAAAAAGATCTAGATTTAGAGGGATATCACCTAGTTTCTTCAATCCTAGAGAATCTGCAAGAGAATAAAATAAGATCAGAACCAAAATACAAATCAAATAAATCACATAAACCTAAAAACAAAAATTAGAACCGAGCCTACCATCGATCTCCCCTCGGCCTGGTCGAAGCTGATGGTCTCCTTCATCCTCCTGTCGACCCCATTGCTTCCTTCTCCTCCTCGTCCAAATCCGAAACCCAAAAACAAACAAAACTAAATCAGAAACCAAAACTTCACAAAAGGACATAATCGAACCGAAAATCAAAATGCATGCCGATGATCTTACCTAGATCGAAGGTCCCCCGGACGATTTTCAGCGACCTACGGCGGATTGAGGAGAGTAAGAGTCGGCGGCTAGAGGAGGAGCTCTGAGGAGTTTCTTCAGTCGGGTCGTCTTTGCTGGCGGCGGCAAGAGAAGAGGAGAAGGGTTTCGAAGTTCGATTGGTTTCGATTGCTGGGTAGGAAAAGAGAGTAGGATAGGGATACGAGAGAGAGAAGGGTTGCCAACGAGTTCCACCGCCCTCCCCATCGCCGTCGCCGTCGACGGAGAGGCAGAGGTAATGGAAAGAAAGACGAGAGACGGAGAGGGAGAGCGGCGGCATGTTTGGATTCGGCTAGGGTTTCATTTTGTTTGATCTCTGGAAGAGGAGGGAGGTGAGACGAGAGAGAGTGAGACGAGAGAGAGTGAGAGCGGCGGTAGGGTTTAGTCTGATTAGGGCCTTTAGGATGAATTTATACCCATCAGAAAAAGACCAACTTACCCCTAGGGTTTCGTTTTAATTACACACTCCTGCCACCGCGTTTTTTTTGTAATTACAAATTTACCCTCCCGCCGTCTCTGAAACAAAACGAGAAACTAAAAATAAATGCTGACGGAGGGGTTTTGAACCCGTGTCCTCAGGGGCAAACGAGCTGCATTGCTTGCAACTTAGCCAGTTGGGCTGCATGCCCATCATGCATAATTATAATCATCCCGCACAATTTTATTTGTTTAAAGTTCTTAATACGAATTGTTAAATTGCGGATTTAGTTTATCTTGCCTCTTTTCTAATACACCAAGTATCTTCCTAACAACTAAAATTCTTATGCTTCTCTTAACAACTTCGTAATAACCTATTCAAATTTTTTTTAACAAAATTATAATACGAGAATTACGTTCAGTGGAACGTGGTGAAAATGTCACAATTAAACTATCAAAGTTCAAACGAACTACATGGACTTTGATCCCGTATTACGGGTACGTAGGCAACCGATAAGGTTCGAGTCCAACTAACCAACTAACTTCATATTTAAATTTTACGTCAGTGGACGTATAATTAAATTTCAACTAATACGATAAAATCATTAAATGGTCCAGTGGGACCTAAAATTACAAAAATATTACTAAAACACACCCAACTCATATAAACTTATCAAACTTAAGTAGTACCGATTTAGGGCGTTGTGGGGGTGTTGCTTAACTTCCCACACGTAACCGTACTCCCGAACCCAGAACTTTATTTTCGCAGACCAAGTCTCGGTTCTGATCCTAAGGTTAGAGCCGACTGATGAGTGTTCGATCCACTCCAAGTAAGATCGATGGCGACTCCCAAAAATGCCGACGCGACGACATCGGACCCCCGGAGGGACGGTTGCGACAAGCATAACCCGGTAATGTGAACGGCTCTCACTTTAGTGGTCCAACCGACATTAGACCGTTTAAAAACCGTTAGAGAACCGGTACCTAATAAAAATTATTAGTATAAATAGTGGACATTTCTTAATCAGAGCTCATCTCTTTCCTTCGAAATTGTGAAATGGAAATAATGATTCAGTTTGAGAGCCCGACGTTTTTGGTTTATTTCAATTTTCAATTTTCTGCAATTTTTTAATTAAATTTAGTGGTTGAATGGCAAAAACCGGACGAGCGGCTCGATTGGCTCGAACGGTTAACCGCCTCTGCCGCTCGCCAACCGCTACATAAAACCGGAGCGGCTTTTAGACTATTTCGAGCCGGTTTTGTGATCGGGTAGCGGCTTTACCGGTCGGACCGAGCAGCTCGGTTCGGCTTTAATAACACTGCAAAATTCACTTCAATACCTGCCATACAAAGAACTTAAGATTTAGACGAATGGGAAGATCCCATATTTTGATAAAAAACCGCTCATTGACCAAGTCACATTCCTTCTGTCACCGCCCTGTAGCTCGGCCCAACCTATCCACCAACCTATACCTAGGCTTAATTGTATACTCCCCTGAAGGGTCCAGACGCCATACCAGGCAATCACCCAGCGGATCCGTCGATAAAGGAATCCCTTTAATTACTCGCTTAGTATCAGGTGGAAAGGTAGCCCTCAAACACAGCGATCACAACTCCCTTGTCTCCTGGTCAATCAAAGAATCCATAGTTTCATGCCCAGTCAATGGCGCACTAACAAGCATCTCTGGGTGATTCAGATGAATATCCGACACCTAATTTCTTGACAGAATAGGAATGGCTTCCCCCGACCCGATTTGCCAGCCCAAACTATTAACAAGCAACTGACACCTGTGCAGTACACTCTGTCATCCCCAAGACGTTCTAAGACCCATTCAGAAAATATTTCCCCCGATAAATCTGAGTTAAAAATGACTCAAGCTCCATCAAGATACGCCAATCCACTTTAGCCAGTAACACTTGATTGAAAAGTTCAAACCAACGCAAAACCCAAACCCCTTCATGTTTACTTCTGCACAATTGGCGCCATGACATCCAATGTACATTTTCCTTCCCTTCTGAATACCCTCACCAAAATCGTTCCATGACATGGTATGACATTGTTTTCACCACTTAAGTTTCAGAAATAATCTCCCCTCCAAATATCTGAACATATCGGACTTAGACTTTCCAATCAACGTGGGCAACCCAAGGTACTTATCCTGAAATCCAACCGCTCTCACCCCCCAAATTTGGGCCATCATCTCCTGATCATGAGGCAGTATATTCCTGGTAAAGCACACTGTCAAATTTAACAGGTTCACTCATTGTCCACTAAGGGATTCATAATTCCCGAGCAGCCCCAAAATGTCATAACATTGTTGGATCGAACCGAGCAAGAAGAGGTATCATCATATACAAGAACAAGCGATTGCTCTACTTTTTCTCTTTTATCCTTCCTACCTAACTTTCCCCATAAAGCAATTTCTTCTACAATGATCTCTTTTCCCCCTAAATATTGCCTAATTTTTTTTTTCATTCCCCTCCCAATTGGGGCCCTATTTTCACCAATTGTCCTCTACCCTACCTTTAGAGATCTTATTTTCAATTATTACTAGGGGATGTTGGCCGCGCTCTGCAGCGACTGTAAGATTGGTTTCTCGATCATTATTTGCAAACCCATTTGCATTAAATATATAGATCAAATTTCTTAGTTAATTTAGCTTGAAGTAAGTAGGACCTCAAGCTAAAATGTTTACCTTCAACTTGGGGATAACGAATGAAAAGTAGAAAATGATAGACCAATTATCAATTACACTCTATTTCATAGATATAACTCAAGTAAATTACTAACATAAGTTCGAAAACATTTTCCTGATGTTAGAAGATACAACTTACAATGGGACATAAAAAGTACAAATATACAATACAACCAGAATTGTTATGACATAACCTGAATTCTTTTGCAAATAAAAGCAATAGAATTATTTAGCTCTTAAATTTATGTTAAGGAAAAATATGACAAAGTCAGAGGAAATAAGTCTTCATGGTCATACCATTCATACTCTATCCAAATGCGATATTAACCTCATATCCGTAGATCCATGCAACACACAGAGGTGACAATATTCCATAAAACATGAAAAATGAAAAAAAAGTACAACATTTCTGCTTCGCTTGCCCATGTACATCTCCTTGTGCTTCAATTGGAACATCATTCATCATAGCAAATATACTTGCAATTTCAATCTAATACCGCCACACTTGAGTGTCGGCTTTCATTAAGTAGAATACGCCAAAATTTATCAGATAAAAACAACACATGGTAGAACAACCCAATCAATCATTTGAACTCAATCACTTCATTTATACCCAAAGTTATCCTTCATCCAGAGATATCTGAGGATCAATTTCTCGGACAATCTATATTTAATGCCATGAAATTGGCTACTGTAACATGAAACCTTTCATGGGATTGGCTTTCATGGTTTGAATATCTTGGTTTTATCGATAAACCGAAAACAATAATACTACTCGGTCCTATTTTAGCCACCTAACAAAATCAAATAATAATTAACCCTAGGAGGAGGGTGTTAGAACCCTACTAACACTTTTAATAAGGGTATTATAGTAATTGTTCTTCCCCATTTCCCCTTCCTCCTTCCCTCTTCCTCTATGTTCTTTTCATTGAGGTTTTATGCAAGAGTTACACTTTATTACCTGAACTTAATTGATTTAATATTTGATGCCAAAAAGTAATTTTTTACAAATAATTTCTAAAAGTATTGTTGAAAATGAACTTTTAGTACCTAAAATATTTTTCTTACATTTTGATACCTGAAATGTTTAAGATTTATAAATAGGTCCAATGTTATGAGATTCTCGGTATGCTTTAAAAAAACTTGATGGTTGCTTTATTCGGCTTCTCGCATGTTTCATAGAACTTGTGGTCTGCTTTAAGAAACTTATTATATACTTCAATAAACTTCTGATATACTTTTAAAAACTTGTAGTATGTTCTTTTAAATTAAAATCCATGTTAACGATTCAACGGGGAAAAAATTAATGTTAACATCATACTAAAGTATCAATACTCTAACCCTTCACAATTATTTCTTTTCATTTATATCCCTAATAGTTTTTGTCTTATACTAAAAGTTGAGGGTAAATATGACATTTCCCCATAAAAGTAACTTTATGTAAATCAATGCATAAAGTAGAATCTCAACAACCAAACAATGTATTGTTAAAATGCATCCATTGTATCAATACATGCATTTATATCATGGTGATTCATTACAATGTAATGATTTAACATTTGCAACTTCCAAACGACCCCTTAGTTAACCAGATTAACCAATATAATATCACATTATCTTTAAGAAAATTTTCGATTAATGCATCAATTTGCAATTTATATGATGAATAAAATATAAAAATCAACTCATAGTTATAGTTACCCCTTAGACTAAATACATGCAACTAATACAATTATCTTACCGTCAATAGAAGTATTCACCTAACATCAATGATATGAGGTTAACGAATTGTTGTATTTGTGTGAATTGACTTAGGGGTCGTTTGATAGTTGTGATTGTTAGAGTTGTGTATTGAATACATGCATTGTTCACAATACAATGTTTGGAAGTGCCAAAGTGTAAAACAATGCATATATTGTTTTAGGTAGGTCCCACCAAAAATCATGCAAAAGTTGAGATTGTTGTGATTGTTGATTTTAGATTTATGTCCATTTTTTCTTTCCATTTATATCCCTATTAGTTTTTGTCTTATACTAAAAGTTGAGGATCAATGTGACATTTTCCCATAAAGTAACTTTATGCAAGTCAATACATAATGTAGAATCTCAACCCAAACAGTGTATTATTGCAATGCATCCATTGTACCAATACATGTATTTATTTTGTTGTGATTCATTACAATTCAACGATTTAACATTCGCAACTTTCAAACGACCCCTTAGTATATTAGCAATTATCATAGGTTGAAAAATACCTTCCCTTCAATTTTTTATCCAACATAATGTTTGAGTTTTATCTAAATTAGGCTTTCATATGTGCTGGTCTACATTCTATAAATACAAAAATACAATGTAAGAATAATATTGAGTTTTATTTTTTATGAGCCTAAAAAGGAAGAACGTTTTACTATTGAGTGGTTACGCAAAGTAATAAGTACGTGTGTATAATATATATTAGATATATGGTTAAGCACTTAACTGGTTAGTTTGGTTTGATTGGTTAGGAGTGAATGAAACCAAACCATACCACCTAAACCAAACAAGCTAAAAAAATTAACGAAACCAAACCATTTATCCAATTAACCAAACCAAATTATCCAAATACTATCAGTTAAATTAGTTATGACGGTAGGCACTGTGTTTGAACACGTAAACTTAAAACATGGATTATTGTTTTGCAAAAATGATCTTTTTTTTGGGTAAGAAAACGGGACGCAAAAGGGCGTCCCAACCTTTACTTAGGAATCATGCGGGTCGTTTCAACCCCAATGTAGTCATGATACAACCAGTACGAAAGAGCACTACTAGGCACAGGGATCCTATGGGTTCCCAACGTACAAGTGTGGCCCAGATTGGCCAAGTAATCGGCGACGACGTTCGCTTCTCTGTAAATATGTGTCAGTCTAACCTGCCAGTCTCTGGCTAGGAGCTGTCGAATCTGATTAACTCTCGTGAAGTGCATATGCTGCTGATTAGCTGTCTCAATGAGGTTGATGGCTGTTGTCTAGTCCTTCTGCAGCAGAACCTTCCGAACCCCTGCCTCCCAAGCAAACCTCAGCCCCTGCTCAACTCCAACTAACTCGGCACTAGTAATCGAACCCCCACCCCCCAAGGTTCATGGTGAACGCAAGCATGAAACGGTCATCGTCCCCTCGCACGACCCCGCCTGTCGGCGTGCTCGAAGGAGAGTGAATTACGGATCCATCGGTGTTGAGGCAAGTCCACCCTGGCTCTGGTTGCTGCCAGCAGATGGGCGTTGGTGTACGGAGTCCCCGGCTCCTCCAACGATGCTCTCCTTCTCTAACGCACGAATGATGTGCTGCCTTAGTTGTGCCGAGTGAAACTGAATTTGAGCAAAGGACAGGAGTTCACCTCGGAAGCAGAAGTTGTTCCGGTTCTTCCACAGGAGCCAGCATGTACCTGAAAAGAGAGTGGCATCAACGACTCATCCACGCCCTGTGGAGTAGTGGAATAGCCATTCCTCCAAGCTCTTCCCGTAGAAGTCTCTGTCTGGTTCGTCTCCTAGCAAGCCCGCCCAGACTCCCCGCGCGAATGGACAGTCCCGGAGGGCGTGCAAGGTTGTCTCAGGTCCTCCGCCACACGTCTTGCAGTTGTCTTCGGTTGTAAGGTGCCTTCGTCTTCTCTCCGCATTTGTAAGTAGCCGTTAATGGGGAGCTAGCCATAGGAATGTTCTTATTTAATCACACAAAATATCCAAAATCGTTAGATTGCTTATTTAAACCCCAATAAAATATGGGATCTATGTCGGTACTCGCCAATAAGAAATACAAGGAACTATTTTCCTATTTTCATAAATTAGTCTAAAATCATTATTTTAAATTTTATTTACCCATTTCTCCTTAAAGTGTTGCCCTAATTGAAGAACAAAACAAACTTGTGATTAATGTAAATGCTAAAAGAGCAAAGGGCTGATTAACCGTGGATGTCGATACACACACTTTACGACAGGCCCAAATGAAAAAGAAAGAGTCCAAAGCTCATTGATCCATTATCATTAGCTTAATTTTCTTTTTTTTATTTGTAGAAAATAGATTTTTTTCCGTTGCCTAGTCTTTCTCCCTCCCCTCCTCTCCAACTCTCTCATCATCTCATTCATTATCGTTGTTAAAATAAATTAGAAAACCTAAAATCTAAATCCACCACTGTAGTCTCACCACACCAAACCTTATCTTTCTCTCACGACTGCCCAACTTCCAGTCTTTCAAGTTCCATAAAAAATTAAAGATGCAAAAATATTTTCCTCTTCCCCTCTCCTCTCCCTCCCACCCCCGTCGGTCCTAGACCTTGTCCTTCTCTTCCCAAACCCTCCTCCTACCTTCATCTAGCTGCTACTCCCCATCTTTCCTCAACACCTGCAACTCCCCATCTTCCCTCAACAACAGCATAGCAGTACATCGCCCGATTTTGCTGGTAAATTCTTCCTTTTCTAGATTATACTCTGCTCTGCGGCTTCTTCCATTCGGAGTCCAGGGTTTTTACTTGTGAATGGACGGCACAGGGAATGATGGTGTGGTGTGGTGGTTGAGTGGCAATTCTTTCCTATTTAGTTTACTCTGTTATGCTAATTCTCCCATTTTGAGTCTAGGGTTTACTTGCGAATGCATGGTACAGGGGAGGATGATGTGTGCTGGTAATTCTTCCTTCTATAGTTTGCTCTGCTCTGCTAATTCTCTCATTTTAACTCTAGGGTTTGCTTGTGAATGTATGATACAGGTGGTGATTATGGGCTGGTAACTCCCCATCTTCTCTCAACAATCTTCGTAAGCATATTGAGTACATCAAACTGGTTTTACTCGTAATTCTTCATTCCCTAGTTTACTTTGCTCTGCGGATTCTTCGGTTTTGAGCCTAGGGTTTACTGGATTGAATGGTACAGGGGATGATGATGTGCTGGTAATTCTTCACTCTCTAGTTTACTCTGTTCTGTTAATTCTTCCATTTTGAGTCTAGGGTTTACTTTTGAATGATACAGGTCGTGATAATGTGCTGGTCATTCTTCCTTCTCTAGTGTACTCTGGTCTGCATATTCTTCCATTTTGAGTGTAGGGTTTACTTGTGAATGAAGGATACAGGTGATGATGATGCATAGGGTTATTGAAAGAGAAATGGTCACTACTACAATGATAGCTTTATCAGGTTTTTTAATCATGGTCTCAGCTGTGTGCAACACGGCTGAGGTGGCAGCATTGTCCTTCAGCTACAGCAGCTTCGATCAATGCAGCGATTCCATCAAGCTGTACGGAGAGGTGTCTTGTATGAATTCCGGGATACAACTGACCGGCTTCGGGTATTACGTGATCGGCCAGGCCAGATACTTCAAGCCAATGCACCTCTGGGATGCCACCACGGGCGATGTCGCCAGTTTCACTACCACGTTCACCTTTGATATCATCAGTAATGTTGACAGTAACAAAAATGGCAGTATGGGTCCTCGTCGTGCTGTGACGGTCTGGCATTCTTCCTGGCACCGCAAAACTACAGCATCCCAGTGGGTGGGGGAGCCAGCGGAAGGTTGGGGCTTATATATGCTAACCTCACCTATGACTCCGCATCAGAGAATCCATTTGTGGCTGTTGAGTTCGACACCTAAAACAACGAGTGGGTTGCGTGGAATGACAGCATCCATGTTGGGATTAATATCAACTCTCTGCAGTCTGTTTCCAGTAAAAGATGGAATTATAATGGCAATGGTACTCGTCGAATGCGTGCGCGAATTTCCTACAATAAGGATGCCAAAACGATGTGCGCAAGCTGGTTTAGTAGTAGGGATGATAATGATCAGTTCGAGTTCGAGAACACCCTTTGCTATGGAGTTGATTTGACAAATTACTTGCCTGAACAAATAGTCTTCGGCTTCACCAGTTCAACCGCTTGGAGGTCTAATTCCCACAACATCAGGTCCTGGTCGTTAAATTCTTCCGATCCAGTCACTGCTCGGCCCAACACCACCACGAATACTACTACTACTACTACTACAGCAACACCAAACGGGTCATCTGGAAGAAAAGGCAGAAACAATGGCAAAAACTTGATCACTGGATTGTCCATACTAATATTGTTGGTCGGTCTTGCTCTTGCAGCAGTATGGTTCTGTGTGTATAGGCGTTTCTGTTGGAGGCAGAATGCGGATAAAAGTCCGTTGGCTGACCGCGAATTGGTTAGCGCACCCTTGCGTGGTGGTAGCGAGGGGCAAGACAGCTCTAGTTCTGGTGGTAGTGCCATGAGACGACCTCGACCTCTTCACAGGATCAATGCCGGAGTGAAATACATCCCACCAGTTCCCAGTCGTTGATCTACGGGAGCGAGGGATACCTGGCTCCCGAGGTTTTGGAGACTGGGAAGTCGACTAAAAGCTCCGACGTCTTCAGCTTTGGGGTGGTGGCTCTGCAAATAGTTAGTGGGAAGTCGGCGTATGTTATCAACAATTCAGCCCAACGTCGTCACATTGTGGAGTGGGCATGGGGCCTATATGGGGAGGGTCATGTTGAAGCTGTAGTAGACCCTAAGCTAAATGGTGTGTTTGTGGAGGAACAGGTCCGTCGTTTGTTGGAAGTGGGTCTTCACTGTGCTCACCCAGATCCCTCCCGCTGGCCTCGGATGAAGGACGCCATGGATGCAATGAACTTCAGGGATCCATTGGCATTGGCCCCTCTGCCGTTGCAATATCCCACCAACCGTAGTTCCCAGGCCGGCCTCCTCCCTTCGCTGTCGCGAATCCTCGAAGAATCGCCGACAGTTTCCTCATTGCAGCAGCCAGTATTATCATCATCAGGAGTTGTTCCACCGCCACATGATCAGCCCGTCGCAAGTATCGCTAGAGCTCGGGCAGCTGTTTCCCGGCTCCATCGCACGGTCTAGGACCGCAGATTCCTTGGTGTGATTGCTGCTGCGCTGATCTTCATTCGGCCAACTCCATTTTTGTGTTGGTTTTTGCAGAATTGGTAACTGTATATTGGGAGTGTTCATTCAATAGGGATATCTATGTATGGTTTCTGCTGCACAGTTGGTTACTTAAGTTATTACCAACTAGGGGACTTTGGGCCGCAATGCGCAGCGGCCGAGGATGGGTTATGGGCTTTCAGTGCAAGTTCGTGTTCATTCAGTTTCATATATTTTAAATTTTATTTACCCATTTCTCCTTAAAGTGTTGCCCTAATTGAAGAACAAAACAAACTTGTGATTAATGTAAATGCTAAAAGAGCAAAGGGCTGATTAACCGTGGATGTCGATACACACACTTTACGACGGGCCCAAATGAAAAAGAAAGAGTCCAAAGCTCATTGATCCATTATCATTAGCTTAATTCTCTTTTTTTTTTAGAAAATAGATTTTTTTCCGTTGCCTAGTCTTTCTCCCTCCCCTCCTCTCCAACTCTCTCATCCTCTCATTCATTATCGTTGTTAAAATAAATTAGAAAACCTAAAATCTAAATCCACCACTGTAGTCTCACCACACCAAACCTTATCTTTCTCTCACGACTGCCCAACTTCCAGTCTTTCAAGTTCCATAAAAAATTAAAGATGCAAAAAAAATTTCCTCTTCCCCTCTCCTCTCCCTCCCACCCCCGTCGGTCCTAGACCTTGTCCTTCTCTTCCCAAACCCTCCTCCTACCTTCATCTAGCTGCTACTTTCTTTCCATCTTCATGTTCCCTCCAATCCCCTTCCCTTCTTTTCGTCAAGCCACAACTCCTCTTTATTGTAGTTTTGAGTTTGAATCTTGTATGTGTGTTTTTTGTACCGATTTGCCTATTATTTAAATACTTGGTGACCAATCAATTGCCATAAGCATTATGTCTCATCTTCTCTATTGCAGCCCTTCCCAATTCGAAGAAATATCTTCTTCTTTTCCGATCTAAATGTACTTCTTACCGCCGCTGGCACATGTGGTTCTCTTCTAATGCATCTTCAGAGTCAGCTCCGCCATCCGTCCATGCCGAAACCCTTTTCAGTCAATAGGTGATTCGTTTTGGGTCACCACAGCTACAATTCCTCTCCAGTACAGTTTTGATGACTAATTTGATCTCCTTGCATTTGAGGTTGGGGACAAATCGTTGGGGTTGGCGGTCACAACCGAGGAAGAAAAATAACAAAGGATGAATTGAAGTCTCGATTTTGATTGGAGACCGCTGGAGCTTGACAAAAGTAAAGCAACACGAAGAGCAAAAAAGAAAATCGACGAATCGAAATGGAAGGGAAGCTGGAGGGCCTGATGGAAATCGTGAGATAGGTTAGGTTAGTGACCGGCTAGAGCGAGATAGCTACCCAGACGGGAAACACGATTGGTGAAATAAATTTAACACCCAAACAAAAGTCCAATCATCAAAACCAGCCCACAAAGCATATAGCCATCTAGAAGTCTGTAACTAAATGACTGTGACCAAGCAAAAATAACCCACAAAACAAATTAGCATATCTCTTGTGCAATAGTAACACCCTTATAGCTTCAATTATATTTAAGATTTTGGTTGTAGAGTTGTTGTGTATCCTTGGTAATGGATAGCTTTTTTGAGGTACTGATACTAGAGTTTGAATGAGATTGTTGAAGCTTATTGGATCTGCAGGTGGAGGCGAACTTGGTTTGAATGATTGATGAACCATGAATTTGACCAATCAATGTATTCCTTCATTCATTCATTCAGCACGTGCTTAATAGATATTGGTTTTGTAGGGTGCTTCCAATAGCAATTGAGCACGTGGAATATGGGCAGCTTCAACTACCAGAGGACTAGACTGCTACAACACAAATAAACGTGCCCCATTTTGGTTTTTTGGTACCACCCACAATATAGCACATAGTTAACTCAAAAGTCCCTTCCTGTGTTCTTCATTTCATTTTGCTAACTCAGCTTTTGTCGATCCAACTCACATTACTATTCATTTGCTACTTCTTTGGTCGCTTACAACGTACAAACTAATGTCTATTTGGGAACATCCGATAAATATTGAACGTACAAACTACTAAGCAAAGGTAGATTATGCATTAAAACTTATAGGAGAGATGAATGGAATTCATACAAACACTATCACAGGTTAAACTGCAACTCTCCATCAGATACACATTTTGAAAATTGAAGCTCCATAACTAAACTTCGAATACAATGTCAATTTATCGCATAGTTAGGACTACAAAAATCTAACTGCTCATGTAAAATCGATGACAGAAATTCTTCCTCGATAATCTCGTCCGATAATTGGATACAACTACGTACAAGTCAAAATAAATTCGTTATTAAGTCTTGTTGTTACAAATATTTGGATTGAAACGATACCATTAAATCCTAACGACTATTTGTTACCGTTTTCAATATATTAACGCGATTGATATAAGAAAAACAAAAATAAACAAAACCACTTTTTTGTCAAAATCAACTGGTTTCTTTGTCAAGAAAATACACAAAGAATCCGACATTTATGATATTGTATTTAGGGATGGCAATTTCGACCTGACCCGTTTTACCCGACCTGTTTGACCCGTTTTACCCGACCTGTTTGACCTGTTTTGGGGCGGGGCGGGCATGGGTAGTCTCATCGACCCGACCTGCCCTGACCCGCCCCATTCTCGACCCGTTTGTGTCTAAATTACATGAAATCTTAGTCAAATTACTTTGAATTTTACTTTTATCGCATCATATTTTAGCTATAATAAAGTTGTAAATTAGTGAAAACCTCAATTTCTCCAATAATTTAACTACAATTGTCATAATATTGTTTATTTTCTTAGTTTTATAATAAAAATAACGAATCTTTCTAATGTTTTTCAAATAAATTGCATACCCATTGGGTCGACCTGCCCCGACCCGCGACCCGTGATCAATTACCCGACCTGGACCCGCCCTGCAACGGGGCGGGTCTGGGTACCAAGAAACCCGCGCCGGACCTGCCCCATTGCCATTCCTAATTGTATTTTAACGTTTAATTTACTTATTCAGCTCTTAAACCCTCTTCCGAGTTCTCAATCCTCGGCTCCATTACTAAACCCTTCTTCCCCACGAGAAATTACCCACTCCAGTCTCTCCGCCGCTCTTCTCTGTCCTCTACACCGTCCTTCTTCTTTTCTCAGAATCTTCCCCCAAAAGAAGAAGAACCCAAAACAATGGCGGCGACTTTCACTCAGCCCCACGCCCACGGCCGCCTCTTCTCCACCTCCCCCGTCGCCAAACCCACAAGAAAGCTCCGTTCCCCGTTCACGGTCCGCATGTCCCTTCAAGAAAACGGCCCTTCCGTCGCCGTAGTTGGAGTCACCGGCGCAGTCGGACAGGAGTTTCTCTCCGTCCTCACGGATAGGGATTTCCCTTACCGCTCAATCAAAATGCTCGCTTCCAAGCGCTCCGCCGGGAAGCAGATGACTTTCGAGGGCAGGAACTACACGGTGGAGGAGCTGACCGCCGATAGCTTTGACGGGGTCGACATCGCCCTGTTCAGCGCCGGTGGGTCTATTAGCAAGCAGTTTGGGCCGGCGGCGGTGGAGAAGGGTACCATTGTGGTGGATAACAGCTCCGCGTTTAGGATGGTGGATGGGGTTCCTTTGGTGATTCCTGAGGTCAATCCCCAGGCAATGCAAGGGATTAAGGTTGGGATGGGGAAAGGGGCTTTGATTGCTAACCCCAATTGCTCTACCATTATTTGTTTGATGGCTGCCACTCCATTGCATCAACGTGCCAAGGTAAGCAATTCATTTCTGTTCTGGTTTGTTTGAGAGTTTCGGACAGTGGGGGAATCTTCCATTTCAAATGGTTTTTTCTTTTTTTGTTTGATCTATGCCAGTCTTTTGTGTGCCTTGCTTGAGTTTTTGTAGAATATGAAATGAAGTGACCTGATCTCGGACTTGTAGCTCTGGGTTTGAGTGTTTGTAATGATGAATCGTTTCATGGGCATTTGGGTTGCAGGTGCTACGCATGGTTGTCAGTACATATCAGGCAGCCAGTGGTGCTGGTGCTGCTGCCATGGAAGAGCTTGAACTCCAGACTCGTGAGGTTTTCTTCTTTATCCTATTCATCCTTGTTTATATTGGTCCATGTTCTTATTGTTATTCTGGACAATCTGCAATGTTCATTCTATACTCTTACGTCTTTTCTGAAGTTTGCTGCTTTCTTTGTCTTTTGTAAAGGTGTTGGAAGGAAAGCCGCCAACCTGTAACATATTTAGCCAACAGGTTTGTCCCTTTGGTGATGCATTATTATCCTATTTGTGCTCTTTCTTTATCGTGTTTTCTTGTTTTACAAGTGAAGCTGATGAAATGGTTTTTGCTGGATGCGTGCAGTATGCTTTTAATTTGTTTTCACATAATGCACCAGTTCAACCGAATGGATACAATGAAGAAGAAATGAAATTAGTAAAAGAGACCAGGAAAATCTGGGTAAGCTTTGGTCATTTAACTTTGTGGATTCTCCCATCTGGATTACCATATGATGGGTTACTTGGGAATTCCGGTTGGGAAACAAACCTGTTAATCTCCTGTTATTTCTGAACTTGTTTTACGTGTTTCTCTGGTCTAATGTATCTGTCTTTTCCTGTCTGTTTTGATATTTACAGAGCGACTTGGATGTGAAGGTCACTGCTACCTGTATAAGAGTCCCCGTCATGCGCGCACATGCTGAGAGTGTCAATCTCCAGTTCGAGAAGCCACTTGATGAGGTAAATATTTTCAAATTTCATCTATTTTAATCTTTCGATTGGAACCCTTGTATAATAAACACATTAGTCGTGTTTCACTTTCTATGGTGTTTTGTTGTCTTGGTGAAGGTTCTCTCTAACATGGAGGTGCCTAACATCTTTTGTGGACATAGTAGCTGTGAATTCCTTTTCGTTCATGATTTCTCTACTAGTGCATACTTCAATTTGAAATTGTCTCAAGTTTTCTCCTTCTCGGCTTGATTGCACTCTTTCCAGAATCAGGACAACTGACTTCTTGAGCCTTGCTGTATCAACCAGTGAGCTTCATTTCCTACTAGAGCTGTAGAAAGTTATGATCTACCTAGCACACCTTGTCAACTTTTGTGCGAATTTCAATTTCTGGTTGACTTGTTTTGCTTTTTTCTCGCCTTCCTCGTTGATTGTTAAAATTGTGTGGAAGTTGTAGATGGGAACAGCTTGGTTCTGTTTCTCTTTTTGTTTACCCTAGCAAGTGCCTCTTTATCAGTTGACATTCTGCAGTACGACTCTGGACTAGTTCCATTTGCGTATTCTGACGAAGTTGTGTTAATTCTTAGTTTAGAAGAGCTGCTTATTTCAGTGAATGAAAGGATTTTTTAGGCCTTTTTTCCTCATGGATTATTATGGGAAAAGCACATTAGAAAAACAACTACTGACGTAGGGCATATGTCTTTCTCCTTCGCCATTTCATCTCACCATTTAGGTCAATTCTTTGTCCACTCTAGTTTGGAGAAACTCCCCTTTCTGTCAATAACCTGTGGTTACCAGTCAAATCTTGTACTTGAAATTTTCATTAATCGGTTTCCAGCACTTGGCCAGTTGTCTAACATCTCATATCTCATGATTTCATTCGTTGATATTACTGCTCCCAAATGTTACCTGTCAGTTTAGAATCGAGTCTGCAACCAAGTCATGCATTCACACCCAATCTCATCTTCTCATGGTTTTTGCTCTAGCTCATCTGTTTTATCGCTACAGTGGCCATGTCGAATACAGCCTTTTCTTCTCTCTTTTACTTTTCTAGCCGGGAGGGGTCATCTTCCCTCACACTAACTGCATATAAGGACTAAGCTTCTTTTCCTAATGAGTTTAGCATCCCCATCGTGTATGGGTCGTGTGTTTCTTCTTAACTTGGGAGATAGCCTATTGAATTGAAGAATGAACTTGATACTGAGTAGGAAGCTTCATTGATACTAGCATTCCTTGGAATTACTCGTAATTATGTGTGTGTTATTGAAGAATCAAAGTGTTAGGTAACTATTCATTTGGTTGGGTGTATTAACTTGCAAAGTTGCAATTGAACAATCTGTTGTTTTTCATTGACATTTTCTGTATGTATTTGACTGCATTTGACGTGCAATCTCGAATACATCAAAACATTGCATTGCAGTTTCAAACACTAAGGACTATGAAGCATTTGAAATGACAGGGAACACACATCTTTCTCACTTCAATAGTACAATTTTATGCAGATATGCATTGAACTGAACAATGTTTTTGAAATACATCAATTCACAAGTACGCCGTATCGAGCTTGCATACTGCCAACTGAAATAGGATAAACGAACAACTTGCTTTTTGCAAAATGGATGTGAGAGGTCCTAACAAACCCAAATATGTTTTGGTACAGGATACAGCCAGGGAGATTCTGAAGAATGCACCAGGTGTGGTGGTGATCGACGACCGTGCATCCAACCATTTCCCAACGCCCCTGGAAGTGTCGAACAAAGACGACGTTGCGGTTGGCAGAATCCGGCAAGATCTGTCTCAAGAAGGGAATCACGGGTAAGAAACCTTGTAACTAACTGTTTTTCTGTTGTAGTTGGAGGTCATTCGTTGAAGTGCACGAGTCTGTCATTTCTTGCTTTGCTCCCCGGGCCTCTGTAAGCAATTTGTGGGTGGGTTTTGCAGGTTGGACATCTTCGTTTGTGGGGATCAAATACGTAAGGGAGCTGCCCTGAATGCCATTCAGATTGCAGAGATGCTGCTATAGTTTCTGCGAGAGTGGCTTCTGTTTTTCACTTTGGTTGAGTTGTTGTTCTTCGATTGGTGAGGTATTCAAGCTGTGTAATATTACCGGCCCCGAAATCTTCCATTTTGTTTAGTTCTTTGGAACTGGTATCCAGGGTTATTAGTTCGTTGCTCATTGGTGTTTTATGATATGATTTTTAGAATGGTAAAATATGAATATGACTTTAGTAGTAATGTTGTCTTAACTCTTAGCTCAAAGATACAAATTAACAATGGGAGAAAAAATAGCGCATCATCAATTTGGTTGTTCTTGCTGCTGCTGCTGCTGCAGCAGCCTATCGACCTTGATTGAATGTAAGCGCTTAACCATATCGATTAAGATTTGGTTTGGTATGGTATGGTATGGTTAATTTGATTGTGATGTTTATTCGGTTTGATTAAGGTATTTTTTTATGATTAGTAAATTTTAGACTTCAAAAATTTGGTGAAAAGCATGATAACTCTTTGGAGGTGGCAATTCCAATCCAGTCTCATCCACATGAATATCTAACTAATCCAGCAGGATGTGGATGAACCCCTTTGGAAGGCAATTTGGAAGCTACCGGTCGCCGAAAGAGTGAGAAGCTTTACCTGGCTAGTCGCGTTGGGAAGGATCGCCACGAACGGACTTCGACACACTAGGAAGGTAGCGGATGACCCTTCATGCTATAGATGCATTGGCCAGTCTGAGACGGTCCTTCATGCTTTGAGAGACTGCTCACCAGCGAGTTTCTTCTGGTCTCGAAGAGTGCCTCCTTCCCGACAACACTCCTTCTTCAGCTCTAATATGAGGGATTGGCTGCGGGAGAACATCTTGAGCAAAGACAGCATGGCCACAGGTATGGATTGGTCGGCCTTCTTCTGCACTGCTTGCTGGCTCATTTGGAAGAACAGGTCGACAGCTTGCTTTAAAGGTATGGGGGCAGCTCTCTCTCCTCATTCTCTTGAGCATGCTATTATGGCGAAAACCAAGCTCTGGCATGAGGCTTGGAATGCGCCGTCCCGCCTCCCCAGTAATAGACAGGCTCCAGCGGATCGGGTTTTGGCGCATGTTGGATGGACGCCCCCGCCTGAGGGATGGCTGCCCCTCCATGTCGACGGTGCTTCTTCAGGGAACCCTGGCCCCGCCGGGGCGGGTGGTGTTCTCCGAGACTCGAGTGGTAGGTGGGTTGCAGGTTTTGTGGCGAATCTTGGTGCAGCGACGGCCGCTCTCTCTGAGCTGTGGGCCATTAGATATGGGCTCGACATCGCGCGGAAAGCTGGCTGCAGATTCCTTCAGGTGGCCTCGGACTCTCAACTGGCGATTCAGCTGATCAGTACTCGGCAAGACCCGATCCACCCTTATGCGACCTTGTTGACAGCTATTAGAAGGAAGATTGGGAGTGATTGGGTGGTACGCATAGCTCATACATACCGGGAAGGGAATAGAGTCGCGGACTGGCTCTCGAAGCACAGTCTCGTCTATCCCTACGGTATGCATGAACTTGCGGACCCACCCAATGGAGTGACTTCGATCCTCAGGGATGATATGCTTGGGACTACTTTTGAGCGGCGTATCATTACCTCCTCCACCCCCCCTCTGTAATCTCCTCCTGTAATTGTTTCTTGTTCTTGGCCTTGGCCTCCTATCAATGCAAAAAAAAAAAAAAAAAACTAATCCAATTCATTTAATCCAATCTATTTGATCTAAATTCAATTGGATTGATGGATTGATCCATGGATTCAAATGACAAATTATGATTTAGTACATATACTTTTTTATTTACATTTTGGTACCTAAAATTTTATTTTTTATATGAAAAATGTCATTAGAAAATTACGTTTTGGTACCTAGTTTTTTTATTATGACATTTTAGTACCTAAACTTTTCAAAATTTGCAATTTTTGTCCAAATCATTGATGTCATTTGGATCCATGGATCAATTCACCAATCCACTTAATCCATGGATCCATCAATCCAATTTAGCAATCCATGGATCCAATTCATTTGTCACCTCTATAACTATTTGAATAACCTAAGTGAGTTATTTTATACTATCTACACATAATATAATACACCGAAGGGAAAAACGGGAGCCCCATTTCAAATTTCCTGCAACGAGAGTGAAAGTAGGAAGGACATTTTGGTCTTCACAATTACTTTTTTTTATTCATTAAAAAGACACATACTGGGATTCAAACCATGACCATTTTAAAGAAAAGCAAGGATCATAACCAATCACACTTAGTACATTTGATGTATCTTTTTAAATTAAAAATTTATAATAGCAGGGAGGAAAAAACTCTTCCCCCATTTCAAATTCCCTGCTCCAGGAGCGTTTGTAGGAAGGGTAGAATAAAGAGTGTCAATTTTTTTCTCTTTCCTCTGTGGAACGGGCCAACTTACCGTACACATGCGAACTTAAACGGGTCCAGGAGTGTCAATTTTTTCTTTAAGCCCTTTTATTTCTCCCTGGTGATAAAATATATATGAAAAGGCAAAAACAATACTCCTTTTTATTGCTAAAAATAAAAAATTTAACAATAAACTAATGCATGGTATCTAATGGGCTAACCGCTAACCATAAAATAAAAGAGTTGAATGGGTCTGACCTACACGGGATTTGGCCATCAAGTAAAACAAATGAACATCATTGGTTTGCCATTCTAAAACAAGCTATTTTCTCTGGCATAATATATATTATGCTATTATTTTATATCTTAGTGGCTAAAATATAATGTATTTTAAAGTTATTCAATGGTTCAACCTCGACCAACCCAATTAGTCTAATTTTTATCATTTCAAATATATATTATATAATTATTTGATATCATAATGATCAAATTATAGTGTATTTTATAGGGAATCGTTTGGTATTTGTTAGTAAAAAACTAAACAGAACGATCTATTTGGTTATTTTAAACATTAAAACGATCCTAAACATTTTCAGTTCCTTTTCAATTTTTATGGTTTTATTCTCGAATAATTGATGTGCAAATGGTGAATTGCAGTCATCTCTTTTCTTTCACTATTTTTTATTTTCAAATAGAAAGTTTAAAAGTAAAGAATAATTAGAATTTGGCATGGGTCGGTCAAACATGCTGAATTTCAAGTTTTGGCCCGTTTTGATCAAGTCTAATTTATAATCACATGGTTCCCTAATACCCGATAAAAATCTCAATCCAAACCAGTTTTGCAGGTGAGTCTGTGTTTACCACCATTTTCTAGGGATACGACAATGGCGGTTCCTATCCCAAATTGTGTTGTTCGTTCTTGATTTTCTTAGATTTTATCATGGCCTAACAAAAACCAGAAAGCACAATGACGACAAGATGAAAGTTCTATTTAGCAAATTAATCGACCAACGGGCCGAGTAAAAGCTAGCAACGATTGTGAGATGCTCATTTCCCGAAAATCAACGGGATATGCGATTTTTTATTCGATTCTGGAATTCGGTTTCTATAAAACTTACTCCACCTCATCATATTACCAGAAACGATATTGTTTCACAAGGTAACATGTACTTGATTTTGGTTCATAAGGCCGATTTTTGATTCACTGCATCATTCATGTCTCTTTCCTGCTAAAATCCACTATTTTTATAACGAATTTCCCAAAAAAAACTATACAACAATAAGCTATACACCCTATTAAATTATCAAAATTCATACCTCACCTTCCTCCGGCCAACTGGCCGGGCCCACACTAGTTATATAGTATAGTTGATCGTATAGCAATCAATCCAATTCAAAAAATCCTTGTCAAATTTACTCCTCGGACGTGATCACTTCATTATGACATTGACAGTATTTGGTCGATTGCAAATGAAACTGCAGTGGGCAGTGCAAACTTGCATTCGATGGGAATGGAGTGATAAGGAATCTTCTTAATTTAAATTCTTTCTCATTTAATTTATGTAATTAGTGGAGTAGTGGCTAGGTAGTTACCTTCTTTGTAGCATCGTGGGTTTATGTTTCTGTTAAGGAGATTGGTATTTAACCCATTCTCCTAATCAATACAAATCACCACATTCAAAGCAATTACATGGTATCAGAGCAAAAGGCTCCGATTTCCTTAACGATCCCTTAAACCTCTTCTCCTAAAAATTTGGCCCCAATCTTCTTCTCCCCTATCTCGACCAAATCTTCTTCCTGCTTCCTTCTCCTGCTTCTTTCTTCTTTTCTTCGCTGCACCTGCAGTCCCTCTTCCATATCTCTCTGCAGTCATGTCAGGTGAAACAGTCATCAATCTTGACGAGGCGAACACCATCATCACGCTGAACCCTGCATCTCAGCTACCCACGAAACTAACCGGCGACAATTTCCCGACCTGGAGAGCCCAGCTTCTCACTCTTCTACGCGGTCTAGACCTTCTCAAGTTCTTGGATGGCACTCATCCAGAACCGGCCGCCGATGCTCCTGTTGCTGATCGTCGTCGCTGGTACAGGCAAGACCAGCTGCTGCTCCATTCAATCCTCGCGTCCATGTCACCAGGTGTTGCTCCCTATGTCTCTGCAGCGCCCACATCTCGTCAAGCTTGGACAATTCTGGAACGAATGTTCGCCAATCAATCCCGCCAACGCGTTATCAATCTGAAAGAGAAGCTTGGCAAAGAACTCCAAGGCAATCGTCCAGTTGCCGTTTATCTTCAAGCCCAGCGCACAACAGCCGCTGAACTCGCGCTCATCAATGCTCCAGTTTCTGATGAGGACCTCATTCTTCACATTCTTCGTGGCCTTCGAGAGGAGTATGGCCATCTCTCTGCCGCCATTCGCGCCCGTGACACTCCCATTGCCATCGAAGACCTTCACGATCGCCTTGTTGATTTTGAAGCCGATCTGGCCGCTGTTCGCATCCCCAATCCAGCTCCCACCACTGCTTTTTCTTCTGCTCGCGGTCGTGGTCCATCTCGGCCATCTAGCGGCTCTCGTCGCCCTATTCCCCATACCTCGTTTTCAGGTGGTGATTATTATTCCTCCCGAGAGGACAGCCCTCGCCAGCAACGCAGCTCCTATCCCTCTCGTTCACTGCCCAATTATGCACCGGGATCCGCTGCTCCATCCCTCCTTGGCCGGCCTCGCCTGCAATGCCAATTCTGTGATCGCCCTGGCCATTCTGCGAAGGAGTGCTATCGTATCAAGGGGCGTCCTCAAGCTCATCACACCACCGCTGGCTCGTCCTCCTCTGCCGGCTGGCTAGTTGACTCTGCTGCCACCAATCACATGACACCAGACCTCGGTAATCTCTCCCTATACACAGATTATAATGGTCCAGATGAGGTGCTTATCGGCGATGGTTCAGGTCTGGTTATTTCCCATATTGGCAATTCTCAATTGTCCTCTTCTTTGAC